GTATATGAGGTGAAAGTCACGGTGAAGACCAGAGGGCTAGTATTATCAACTGACTGCAGGATGGCTTCCCATACCAACCCCCACCTTCAGTTGTCTTAGCACTTCAGTTGCAAATTTTACTTGGTTGAATGTCTCTCACTTCTGCCTTGTTCCTAAATTGTGCTTGGGCTTGACAGACAGCAAAGAACATGGCAAGGAAGTATCTTGGGCTTGAATTGACTGATGGGGAGCCATTGTGTTCTGTTCACTGTAGTCCAAGCTGCACTGTGGGTGGCAGCCAACCTTACGGTTTTAATAACCCAAAAACCCATCAAGTCTCAGCACTGGCTTCTTTCCCAATGGAGAGGCACATGGAGCAGATTACACCACACCCAGAATTCCCTGGAGCCCTGATAAAGAGAAGGTTCTTGGCAGCAACTTGGGACTTTGACCTGTTATAATGATTAAACTGAAATTCAAATGCATCCACCATTTCCAGACAGCATTAACTGCCATGCTTGTGTCCAAATAACCAAGCAGGTTGCATTAGAAGTGGTTTTAGATTATTTACTTCCATTGTTTGTTTGTTTCTCCCTCTCTGAGAAACTAAGACCTGGAAGGACCACCTAAATGAGCAGCAGCACAGTGGGATGGAAATGATGGAAGTATTGTGCTTTTCAAGCCGTGTTCTCAATTGCATTAGTTGTGGCAGAGAGACACACTTTTTCTGGTGGCTTGCCCATCATTGGGCTTTTATTTGCTCCCAAGAGTTGTTGAAATATGTACAGGAAGTCCAAGTCACACGTCTCACTTGTTTCCACACATAACTGCTCTTAAAGTGGAAGCCTTCCATGATTAGCTTAATGTCTGAAAAGTGTGTAAACCCAGTAATAGACAGCATGGCGAATTTGTGAAAATTCATTTTGGCAGAGGTGACCATGTAAGTAGCAATTCTATGCTTCAGTTAATGGGATATAAGGCAGCACAAGTGTACACAGAACTCGTGTTACATTCTTATGAGCAATCTCCTCTGATATTACCATCTAAGATGGTATCCTGCTTTCAGGGCCTGATTAAAACATTGTTTACGTGTCCTGATAGGGTTGCTTAAATGTTGACATGTTTTTTGTCTGCTGATTTTTCAGTTGTTTTTAACTGCTTTTTACTGATAACTTTAGTATTTCTTGGAAACTGCCTAGCGGTTTTATTACAACCAAGTGGTATATAATTTTATTAAATATATAAATATTACTTATTAACTAAAGGACCGAGAAGTAATATCAATTTAAAACCTTTTGCACCTTCAGGTAATTAGTTAGCCTAAGATGTTACAGTTAAGTCTTGGTATTTTCACTCTTTGCAAGAAATATGCTAATTCAAAGAGATGGTGTCCAGTTATTGAAGTGACTGAATGTCAAGCGAAAAAGGTTTGGGAGTTGTCTCTACTGTATGCTTTTTGTAACCTTCCAGGGCCTCTCGCCTTCCTTCCATGTCACAAGCATTAGAATCTGTCAAATTATCTACAGTGAAATGGAAAATGATGTGACAACCTAGCTTAACGTAAGCCTGGGAGGATTTGCCGACAGCTACAGGTAGGCAAGGGACCATGAATCCTTTTAGAGTTGAACGATGCTGAATTGATAGCTTCTCTTTTTTAAAAAAAGGAAAAAAGGCAAGCTGTCTTGGAAACCCCTGAACTATCCATTTAGCTGTTTTGCATTCTGATATCGTTTGTGTCTGTGGCCCCACTGTCTGTGTCATATGTAGAGGAGTTAGGACTCTTGCACAGGAGCAGAGTGTAGTGATACAAGTGGTAAAGTCACTCTTGTTAGTGTACTTTGCAGTGGTGGAACCAGAATAGCCTTTTCAGCTCTCGTAGTTGACATGGTAAATAAACATTGAGTTTGTGGAGTTTGTTGGGTTAAGTTGTTCCCCTTTTGGGGCTAACTCCTGCTAATTTTCCATACTGGCTTTGCACATAACACCTTTGTGTGTGAGAGTAGAGTGAAAAAGAGGTTTACTCTGCATTGGCAACACTAAGCAGTATGGGTTGCTTCACAAATTTCAGATATTGAACACTAGCCACTGATAATTCTCTTCCAAAAAAAAAAAGCTTATCTTTGCAAGGCTTAGCCTAGTAACATAGGCTTGTAAAGACAGAAGGAAACCTGCCACTCTTATACTTATGGTTAGTTTCTATAGTTGGTATGTAATTCATGGTCAAAATTACCTTAGTGTGCAAAGAGAGGCCCTTTCACAGAATGTAATTCAAACTATGAACACCACTTGACAAGTTGATCATTGACTTCTTTGCAAAATTTACCCGGTGATCTGATATGAATGAGCCCATTGAATCTGCATGGAGTCCCTTTGTGCGAGCTGTGGTTAAACTAGGAAGTCTCCTAAACATCAAGGATCTCAAATCAGCTTCAACCCAGATGCTGGGTTGGTCTAAAGCACGTAACCATATTGTTCCAGTTTGGACAAAAATGGTAAACTGTTTCATTTGTGGCTTCCTGGTTTAACCACAGCTCACATGAACAGGCAAAAGTCATGAAGCATGGTCATCTGAATGCTGGCCTGGACCCATTGATCTTTTGAGTTGTTCTCATTTTCACCCCAACTTTTAACAAGTCACCTTAACAACAGGACCAGTGGTAGTCCTGCATATAGATTGGATTTTTACCACAGGCAACAAAGGGTACTACAGGTGCAGGCAAACTTAAGCAGCAAATCCCTGTTTATTGAAGGTGAAAGGTCTGGGCAAGAGCCATCAAAGAAGTTTCGGGTTGCAAGGAGCTGCTTCTAAAGCCTATAACAGACATGCTCTCTGCTTTTACCATTTTTTCCACTTCAGGCCGGTGGGAATATTTTACAAGCCAACATTTTATTTGTTTCATAAAACAGGTAAAATTTTATATTAATGTAAAACAGAACAAAATAAAAAACATACACACACACTACAGATCACAATGCTAGAGAGTATTAACATGTAGAGAAGTGCAAACGTCCCTCCCCAAAGAATCTGCATTGAAAGTTCTATTACAGAGAGATTAAAATCTGGCTTGTTTGAGAATGTGATATACAGATCACTGTCATGAACCAGAAAAATATCAAGAAGTTTCAGAAATCTCAAAACTTTTTAAAAAGCTTTTATACAAAGAGGAGATGGGGAGGAGGACGGCAGCAAAGTTTCAATTAAAACATAAAATTTTCACTCCAATATAAAAAAAGAGCAAAGTTCTTGGTGAACACATAAAATTCTATAAAAACTACCAACCATCTATTAGGGTCTTTTTCTCTCTCCATTTTTAAAAGTAGCATTAAAAAGGATAAAAAGTGCACAGACACCTTATAAGGCACAAACAGATCTTCTGAACAGATACTTTTCTCAAAACAAAACAAAAAAAGCAATAGCAAGAACAAGTTGCTAAATAGCCTCTACTTCCTAAAAGTTGTCTGTCAGAGTTTGAGAATTCCTTGTGAGACTGGAATAAGTAAAGCTGCATGTCCATTAACGCTGCTTCCCCAGCTTGCTTCACAGCAACACTTAGGCTGTGGACTTAACTCTGCCTAATAAAGCCCATGTCAGATGCTGCTCCTTTTGGGCAGTATGTTCCCAACAGAAAAGATTAAACACCATGTGTCCTTTCCTCCACTTATTTTGAACTATCATAGGTCTACAAATTTATTTTCAAAATACCACTGCAGTTGGAAGCTAGTAAAGTAAAAAGGCACACCTTTCCAAGATCGCTTGTAGCACAACTTGTCAATGCAGAAGTAAGCTCCGTTGAGACTAATGGGACTTACTGCCAGGTGTATGTGGTGTATAGGCTTGCTGTTTGGAAACTAGTTCTAGCCCAAAGGTATCTAAGGGCAATGCCCAGGGGCACTTTGCTATGATACCAAAAAGGGGATGGGAACAATCCAACCCCAAGTTACCCAGGGAGTTGGGAGTAGAATGGAAGGTAGTGATCAGTACTGATCAGCAAACCCACTGACTACAAAAATTGTCACCTTTCCTTAGAATTACATCTCTGCAAAAATGTAAATTTGTTGACTTCTTTCTGGTAAGCTTCTCCAGAGCTTAACTCTAGCTGCAGTGATGGCAGCTACGACAACTAAATTTCATTCAAATTAACTCTGATTCATAGTTATGTCGTTCAGTGGCATCTTAGGTAAGCAGGATGGAATTGAGATGCTAGGAATATATTCATGCCTTGTCCCCGGCAAACATCTGGCACTGTGGTCATGCACAACTAGCAGCACCTGAAATAGAGTGGAAAGACCCCCTTGGAACACATGTCAGTAAGTGGGCAGCCCCTTCCATGTTGCTGGCTTGACTCAGCTTCATAATAAGAAGGTAAGAAGTTTTGCTTTACACAAGTATCTCTATGAAGTATTAACGGCAAATAGCAAGACAGCTGGATGGTGAAAAATAACTTTCGGAGGATCTGCCTTTCGTGCACAGAGCTTGACAGCAGTGCCAACAATGGCAATTAACTTAGCAGGTGATTAAATAATTGCAATCAGCTGAGTGGCTTTGCCCTTTCTCTCTGCTTTTTAAACATATTATTGTGCAACTAGTAGCCCAAGTTAAATCCTGTTCCCTTTCTCAATTCAAGCATCACATCATCCTCTGCCCCTAAACTTTTCAGCTGCCCATCATTAACATGCACAACAGGGTCAGAAGCTGACACTGGCAAAAGCTGATTGTGGAGGTCAAGAAATGCAAAGATCCAATCTTTAAGGTGGATGCAACAACCTGGAATCATCTTGTGATGGGCAGTGTTACTTGCTTTAACAATGCTACTTGCATAATGCCTCCCATGTTGTGCAGTTATAGCATTATCTGCATTATTAATTGTCTCCTCCATGGTTATAGACTACAGCTGACGGTGCAAAAATTAAATGTAAATGCTCATGGAGATTCTTAATCACTGACTAGGACTCCTGTTTGGTTTTAGGAGGCCTCAGTTACTTATCTCATCACAAAGCAGTTGCATTCCATGTAGGCAAAAGTTGTTTATAGAGTAACTGATGGCATTTTTAAACTAACCTTGCTGCCCTTCACATTTCCGTATGGTAATTAGGATACTCAAAACTATTGTAAAGTTACTGGAAGTCGTCATGCACCACAGTGTTGTCCCAAACCACTCTAAAATGGAAAAGAAACAGGCTTTCCTGTTGACAAAGATATTATCTGCACCTTAAAGAAAAGGAAACTCATCTGTCTTGTTTGATGCCTTTCCTTATGCAATATGTAACTGTAGCCAGTGGCAATTTAAGACTGCTAGGATTGTGTCATTGGCATTCATTGGCTTCCAGTGCAGCCCACAAACGATGCTAGTGCAGCAACTTTGCCAGGAGCTAAAGGTTAGAAAAGCATTTAAGCTAAAGACAGAGGAGAAGAGAGGCTCAGCTACCCAATGAGGTACAGCTACCATGTTGCTCAAAGGACTATGAGAAGCTTAGTCCACACATTTTTGTCTACAAAGCACTCTGTATTCCCTAAACGGAATTTGTCCCTCTAAAGCCATTGCTGTCTTCCACCTTATGTATTATTTTCCCCACTAAGGGATCCACATGCCTTGTCATTTATGGCCAAAATTTGCACTGGCTTACATTTCCCTTATTGACAGCACAGCATATCAAAGTATGCTGTTCAAAAGGAAAACTGCCTTCTTCCTGCTAGAAGGGCCCCATAGGCTCAGAATAGCTGTTTTATGGAAAAGAATGCAGCCATATATTGGGGCTGAGAATGGCTCCTAGCAGGCTCCCAAGGGTCACATGTAAGCATTTCTGCCCTGGAAAGACCTACAAGCTGCTCCGCCACAGTAGATCCTAGGATCTCGTCATAAATCAGATAAAACATCAGGATTACAGCTTTAGAGCATCTGTTGCACAATGGAAATGGAATGCCTCTATTGAGGTGGAAGCAGCAAAAAGCCTGCTCTGAATAAATTCTACTGCTTTCAGATGGCAATGGGACAGGTTGCCTATGGGCAACTACAGTTGTGTGCACTGTAGGAGGATGCTGCCACACAAAGACTGAGCAAGGAAAGAGAATCGGCAGATAGGTCAAGCAAAGTTGCTTTATTGCTTGCATGGCACCTCTCCCCTAAAGCCCCAAGACGTTTCACATCCCATTCAGGCTAGTGTAGAGTTCAGAGGTTCCTATAACCACAATCAAAATGCATTTATCTTAAAAGCCGGAGCATCTAATAATAGCTTGCAAATTCTTTTTCCAACAAACAATGCCAAGAAAAGGGCTTTTAAATTTCAGTAAGATGCCTCTATTGTGGAGTAGATGACAACTTCCTGGAGAGGAAGAAATGAGAGATTCCACATGGCTGCATACTTTACTGACAAAATCTCTGGGGAGTAATAGAGGAAAACATCCATCAGCTGTTTGCACAAATTTCAAGAGAGGGAACGCTGGACATTTGAAACCTAACAGTCCATCAGCTTGCTTTCTTTGTAGCTTGGTTCTAAGCATGGCTACTTGCTGTGGCGATTCAGAACCGCCAGGCAAGAAGCTGCTTCTCTTGTGCATGCAGAGGTTTACTCCTACCAATACGTTAACACTCTCCAGCTACAGAAGTGCTTCACAGTTGCACAGTGCAACAGGAAGCTTCAATCTGGGACTTACAAAGGAGGAAAGTGGGATTGTTTACTTGCTGTGTTCCAAGGACATCAGTAGCTTTTTCTTCACTATTCCTCATACCTGCTTCCCCTGTTGAACCATAAATGAGAAAAAGTGCCTTGAAAGAAGCAAATGTCATCCATCGTCTATTCCCCACAATTTTTACAAGATGACAGGAGTCATTTCACTCCACAGTGCCTCTGTTTGAAATTGCCTGAGTGCTGTTTCAGTAATTAAACTGCCTAATTCAGTAAATATCGCATGATTATGGAGGGGGGAGGTGCCCAGAAAATTCAAACAATTGTTTTCTCCAGTACTTTCTGCCCAAGTGGGGTTCACTGTCTATTTTATGTTACTTTCTTTTGCTGGGTGGGGAGAGACTCCTCGTGGCAAAGGTACTTACAGCTCAGCCCCCACCGCTACCTTAACCCAGCAGGGCAGCATCTTGATGAAGCTCTTCCCACTCAGCAGCTGTACCTTCGACATCTACAAGGACCAGAGTGTTTCCCAGATCACTTAATTATCCCTGATTGGTTCCTACTGGTCAAAACACGGAAATATAGACAAAAGAGCCACTCTGTAACCAGCACAATAACCCATAAGCGGTGACGGTAAGTTGTGGCAATGAGTAACAACATTCTTCCTCCTGCCCCCTCGCCCCCTCCACAACACCCCTCAGGACGGCTGGAAATGGGGTTTAAGGGCGGTAGATTTTAATAATGTCTTTGATGACCCGTCGGCAGATTGGGCAGCAGGCATTGAGTTGTTTCTTCAGCTTAAGACCACAGGTGTTGCAGAGGCACATGTGTCCACAGGTGTAGATCACCACGTCCACCTCGTTGTCAAAGCAAACGGTGCACTCGCCATTCTTGCTGCTTGATGGCTCCGGAGGTGGGAACACGGGAGACACTGGAGGGCTCAGAGGTGAACTTGGAGCAGTCACTGCAAGGAATGGGGAACAGAGAAACCTTCCCTTTAATCTGAGTCTCTTATGTCAGGCTGCAAAGAAAAATGGGGAATGCAAAGGGTTGCTTCCTTTAGACAAAAGTGCTATGAACAAAAAGGTTTGGGGATGTTTTAAAACCAGCAATACTTTGATACAGCGAGGGAACAGCAGAACTCAAGAAATGTTTGCATATATACCCTTTGTGGGAAGCAAAACCCCTATCAAGCCTGTTTCCACATTCATAAAAACTACAGTTTCAAACAGTTGTCATTTAGGAGGTTTTTAAAGACCAAAGACGTGCAGTATGACTTGCATGGGGTGCTGCTAGATAGACTTTGTCTATCATGATTTGTCCCTGCTGTGGCTGTTGCAGGAACCACTTATCCATTCCGTTTCACTGCCTGGCAGTCGTACCGGCTGTGGCAACTTTCCGAATATGGTATTTGCATGGGGTGGGGTACTTTCTTTAAAAGTCCATTTCTAAAGTGCATAACAGAATATTCAGGTGAATTTTATATAGAAGCACATAAAACTTATCACAGAAACAAGCTGGCTTCTTTAAAAATTATTTACAGTAACTGGCACAGCAGCTCTGCATTTAATGAATGGGATTTGGGGCTGTTCGTAGCTACCTGGCGTTAATATTTGTATGGTCGGAGATTTAGTACTTTTATTTATTGAATTCATTATTAAGAAAATGTTTTCAATCATACTTTGTATTCTAAAGCTCCATTAATAGATTCCTATAGCATGAGCTTTGAACCAGCAAAGGATGTTTTACCAGCTCTTAATATTTCTGGAGCAGAGTAGCTCATGATGATAGATTGAGCAGTATTGGCTTTCATCCAGCTGTGGTTCAGTGGTTGTGAAGTCCATATTTCACTCATCAATAGGAACTTTACTCCTTGCAGGATTTCAGTAGCGCCATGTGGAGTGACATTTGTGTGAATTTTGGGTTGCTGTTGTTTTTTAATACAAATGATTTTGTATTGTATTTCATGTTCTATCTACCCTGGTTCTGCAAAAAACACACGTTACATAGCATAGGACAGCTCTTCATACACAAGGTCATTTCTTGTTACGTATGTCACATGGGGATCATATGACCCCAACCAAGGGAGCCCCTTCTGGAGCAGTTCATGAAACCACTGTTGGAATAGACCAGGGCTGAGGAACCTGTGGCCCTCCTGATGTTGAACTCATGACCAATTCCGTCATTCCCACCTATTGGCCATGCCTGCTGGGGCTGATGAGAGTTGGCATCCACCAAAGATTCCCCACCCTTGAGACAGACAAACAATGGCTCTGTGGGAGCACTGGGGTAGCACCTTGCTCCCCTTCCCCTAGAACAGGCTGCCATGCAATGGTTTTCCTGTCCAGGTAAAGTGGGGCATCTACTCTTGGGAGCCAGCGTGGTGTAGTGGTTAAGAGCGATGGACTCATAATCTGGTGAACCGGGTTCGCTTCCCCGCTCCTCCACATGCAGCCGCTGGGTGACCTTGGGCCAGTCACACTTCTCTGAAGTCTCTCAGCCTCACAGAAGGGAAAAGGAGATTAAGGGGAGTGAAAGGCGGGATATCAAGTCCAAACTCGTCTTCTTACTTATCATACCGCGGAGTTCTGGGTGTGACAGGTTTGTAAAGTAGCTTTAGTTTCTCTAGGCTTCACAGAATTGTAGAGTTAGAAGGGACCATGAGCATCATCTAGTCCAACCCCCTGCAGTGCTGGAATATTTTGCTCTATGTGGGGCTCAAACCCACAACCCTGAGCTTAATAGTCCCATGCTCTACCGACTGAGCCATCCCTCAGGGAGGAAGATGTAACAGATATTTCCTACAGACAGCAACAGGTGTCACCTCATTTGTTACTCTCAGGGCTTCCATCTGCTTGCATTAAAGTCTAACACAACCCCAACAGCAGCTTTAGGAAATCTGGACGCTCCTCTGTCACAGGAAGAAAGAGGAAGTTCGGCACGCACTGCGCAAATTGCGACATGCCTCGTCCAGGCAACGCAAGACTCAACTTGTAAGGTCTGGCTTGTAACTTTTGGGCAGGGTGAAATGTGTGTATTCAAACAACAAGAGTGCAGGAGGCACAAAGCGAAAGGGTCCCTTACCTAGGGATGACTCAGAAGCGGAAGAAGACCTGTTCACGCTGAAAGCCATATCTGAGTCACTGTCATATTGGGAGCCTCCAGGGGATCCTGAGGGAGAGACTGTCACAGGGCTGGACTGCACAGTGCCTGAAAATACAAAATAACAGGTTCCGTCAGCTTCAGAGGTGGGGCAGGAATCTCTCAGGCATGCAGTGCGGAACTGAGTCTACCCTGGGACAACACCATCCATTTCATCTCCACAACAGACTTACTGTGTAATTGGGAACTTGGTATTTTGTAATACTTATTAGCAGGTTGATTTGTTTAAAGAAAATGAGCTTCCTCTGGTTCCAAGCTTGCCTTAACTGCCTCGTTAAAGCTCACTCTATTCCCACCCAATTCAGATAGAGGCAAAAATCTGACAGGCAAGATCCAACCAGGAGGTTGAAGACCAGTGGTGGAGAATATCTAGAACATGGGCCCATGAGGCTGTTTTGACCAAGCCACACCCACCTGCCCCTACACCTGACATCATACATGTGGGGTATGTGGTTTGGTCCAAAGCAGGGTTTGCAGACATCACCAGTCTGAAGAAAAGGAAAAGAGGTCCTGTGAATTCCACTTACAATGGATCTTGCAAACAGGAAATTAGGACCCCAAGAAAGATGTCATGTTACTAAAATACAGCCCACCCCCACCTAGCCAAAAGGGTGCAGCCAACTGAGAGTGATGCCTACGAAGTCAGGATAGCTAAATGGAACTTCCCTGCTCAGAAGTGGTACGTGTATCCAGACCAGAAGCTGAGAACAAAGTGAGAGTGGAATGTAGCCATAATCCTCATGCCCTGCTTGGCTGCTTTTTGGCAAGAGAATGCTGGAGCAGAGGAATCTTGGGCTGATTGTGCAAGGCAATTTTGAAGTTATGGGACTACAATCAGCCCTATTCCAAAGCAATGCTAGTTTTCAGCCTGGAATATAAAACTCAAGTAGTGATCAGACCTCTATATTGGCAAAACAACCCCTAAACTGGTATGTGACCAAAAAGGGGGCTGGTGGTGGTACAAGAGGGCAGTCTGCATCTTTGCAACTGTGCTAGGGCCACTGAAGCTGCTTACAGCACTGGCGCAACATTGATCCATACACCAGGGCCTACCTGAGTGTTCTAGTCAGATGTGATCGAGAGCCCTCTGCTCCATCGCATGGATCACATAGGCTTGTAGAAACAGTATACAATGGTACATCTAGTTACAAACTTAATTCATTCCACAGGTCCGTTCTTAACCTGAAACTGTTCATAGCTAGAGGCGTGCTTTCGCTAATGGGGCCTCTTGCTGCTGCTGCGCCGCTGGCACACGATTTCCGTTCTCATCCTGGGGCAAAGTTCTCAACTCGAGGTAACTCTAGCAGGTTAGCAGAGTTTGTAACCTGAATCGTTTGTAACCTGAGGTGTTTGTAACTCGAGGTACCACTGTAGAACAGTATGCACATTTACCAGCTTCAGTTTATGAAAAAGTACATGCAAGTTGCCAGACAAGCAGCCGAGTCATCTGGTTTTGACCATCTCCCCAAATATAAGATCATGCTTCAGCAATGCCAATGCAAGGCACAGCTGGTGGCAACAAGGGTTTAGTTGGCCTATAAAATGCCACAGAGAGAGGCAACAGCCCGCTGAAGCCAGGGAGAATGTAATGCCTCTCCAAAGCTGTAAAGAAATCTCAGCGTTACACTACACTACACCCATATTTTTGAGCTGCACTTACCTAATATTTTGAGTTGATTGATTACACCATGGATCGTGAAAAATACCCACAGTGACTGCGAGGTATCAACGCACATCAGCATCCCACGGTTGATCCCGTTTATTCCATGGTGCACTTCTCCATTTGGCAAGACCACAAAGCTGAGGATGTCCCCATTGTTGAGGACTGGGAAACCTCGGCAAACCACCCAGTATTCCTTGCGATCCAGAAGGAAGTCTGGATCTGCTGGGAGCTCATTTGTTCGTAAAGTACCAGGATCACAAGAAGTGATGCCAAACGTGAGGGCTCCATAGTACGGCAGCCCCAGGTGTCCAACTTCCACAAAGAAGCTTTCGCCAATGTGCAAAGGCCGGTCGGAAAACACCAAAGTCCTATTGCTCTCTTGCCAGTTGGTGCAGGCAGACATCCGGTCCTGAGAAAAGTTAATGTCGGGCCCACGAGTAGGGTGGAAACGCAGATCTGTATCGAGAAAGGCAGGCACCACTTGGGCAAGCTGCCGCCTGCTTGGACAGCAAGGGATGGTGTGGTTATCTGTCGGCAGCGCAGGCATACGGCTCAAGTTCAGATTAGCAATTTTGGCCACCACCTGGTTGTTCTCCAGTTCGTTGTTGTTGAAGTTGGCTGAGTCGTGGCTGCTCTGTGGAAGGCAAGTGCTGAGTCGTGCGTTGCTGAGACGGGTGGAGGTCATCGTCTCGGCAAACATGCTGTCTGTGAGGCAATGACAAGGAAAAGCTGTATGAGAGGCAAGCTGAAAATGGCAGCCTACCCTGGCTTGATCGTTGCTTTTTGGCCACTCCTTCATCATACTTAAAACATCAAATATGATACTTTTCCTAGTCCAATTGTGTTTCCAATTAAAGTGGGCAAAAGGAACATAAAGAAAGAAAAATCTATCTGGAAACACAGAATTTTCAAGGCAGTTAGGAATTCTTCCATCAAACAAAGCTCCAGCAACATTTGCTCTTCTACGGGAGCGCTGTCCAATGGAACACCACACTACAAGCTGGTTGCCTGATGCAGGGGCCTCTCTTCCTTTCAGACTTGCATTTGGTGCTCACAAAAAGAGACCTGTTTCTGTTCACTGCCTCAATCAATTGCAGAAAAGCAGATTCTGCAAACTACACTACCTACTTGAGAGAATAAATATTCCTTCCTCGTCTCATCTCTGTCATACCTCCGCACCCCCATCCCGTCCTTGCCAATTTAATTCATGTAAGAGAGACTGGAAAGAGAATGCATTTAATCACTTTAGACCATTAATAATAAATTGTGTGTAATGTACTTGCATGCTAAAATAGCAGTAGTGACCTTTAAAAAAATGTTTCAAAGCACACTACAGACTATTTGTTACTGACAGCCTACGTGAACAAGCGACAAACTCTCTCCCAGCACAACATCCCATCTGATAGCGCCCAATCTAAACAAAAAAAAAAACATAAAAACCACAAACATTTCTAGCCCCAAAGCATAAAACTAGAAGCACATCACTCCATATGAACCAGTCCCCTGTATAGTTACTGAGAGTTGATAATGAGAAAAAGAATGGGTATGAGGAAAGCAAAGGGCAAGATACTTCGGCAAATTTTGATTCAGGACATTCAGATTTCTAAAAGGAAGAATCATCATAAGATTATTTTCCCAAAGTCTTAGATCTATAATCTGGGGGCCACTACCTGGACAGTAATTCATGCTGAAATCATGGCATGACTTGTGGATGGCAGCTTAAGGCTGCAGTACTGTGCGTGCTTATTTAGGAATAAAACACACTGAATTAAGTGGGATTTACTTCTGGGAAAACGTACACAGGTTTACACTGTTAAACTTGATTTTAAGTTACACATAGCTCTGCTGCATTTGCATGCATTTTAGCCTCCTTAAAAGTGGAAATGTATTGAAAATTTATCTGAAGTGCTTAAAGTTGACTATCAATGCAATATATGGAAAAATCAAATGTATAAACAGCTTTCAATTTTGATTAGCCACATAGCTTTTCTTGACAGAAGGAATCTGGGAGGGGGTAAAGCCTGTCTTCCTCCTCAGGATCTCAAGTAGCCAGTTCAATATTTCAAAGGAGTGGCTTTCTCTAATTGCTTAAGTCATAAAAGCTTCTCATCTACAATCTTAAGAGTTGATATAATGAATTTGTATATAGTGCATCCTGCTTTGTGAAGCATCTACAGTTCTATATTTGGGACACCTTCTGTTCCCGTCTTCCAGCCACTCCCCAATTACTGACACTACAAAAGTGATCCAACTTGGCCCTCACTTTCTCTTACATTTCTACCTGTAAAATGGTAATAATAGTGAACTGTAAAATGGTAATAACAGTGATCTATTTCATATGGATGTTCTGAAGGGAAAGAGCACTTTTGAAGGCTCTGATCAAAAGTCAGCAAGAGTTAAGTGCTGTTATGCTCATTTATTTTAATGGGCTTTTGGCACACTGTCCAAATTAATTGACTGTGGCCAGTAAGTGCTATAGCACATTGTAAACTATAGTTCTACAGACTACAGGGGGGGAGAGAAAGGGCCTGGTTTCTACCTGCTGCCTCCACTGACAAGCTAGCCATTGTATAATTCACTTCATAGGAGCTGTGCCCCTTCAGCTCTACCCAGGATCTAACACACCACAGACCATAGCTTTCTGACAAGGCTTAGTAGGGCACAGGCAAACTCAGGTGAAAATGTAAAGACAATTTCCAGAATCATTCTAGGTCTTGGTATGGCATAAATACCCACATGCAAGGCAGAGAATAAATTTCAATAGCCTTTTGGCAAGGCACTTAAAACTAGGTAAAAGGGGCAATGGCTAATAACATACTATTCCTAGGTGTTTGTTTAATTTTAAGCCGAAAAAGTGTCTCTTGTTTGGGGTGCGGAAGGACATGGAAAGGGAGCTTAAGAATTTGGGGAGGTGGGGAAAGGTGGTGGTGGTGGTTTTCAAAATTTTAAGCACCCCAATTTAAACCGTGCCTACTTAAGAATGATTTGAACTATTTTCCATTAATGCATTCATTATGTCATTATGGCTGAAGCTCCGTTATCTTTAGCAATCATGTCCACAATTAAGATGACAGGAATGCCAAATCTGTCCTTTGAAGTCAATTGTAGAGCTGCAGATCTGTGCAGTAAACCAATACCAGAAAGGGGGGAGGGGGTTGTGACAGCTTTATTCAGATAACCCTGGAGTACACCAGACGCATGTATTAGTGCTCATGTTCTGAGAACACTGGAGGCAGCAGATTACATCACAGGCAGCATCCAAGATCCCTAGTGCTTTGTAAACACATACTATCTGGCTTGTCTATAAGGACAAAAATAAGTCCACAATCATGGCTCATTGAGCTGTACTTCTAGGTACGCCAACTGAAGACAAGCTATCACCTGAACTCTACAGGACAAGGTGATAAATCAAGAGCGAGGAATCTCTTGCCTGGACGGAATAGATTCAAGAAGAGGAAAAACCCAATGCTTTGGAAAAGCTTCCAAACTCTTGGAAAGAGAATTACGACATTGCTGCCCTCGCTGGAGTCCTCTGATAAGCAGAGAAGCTGGCGTTTCTCTTGTGTCAAGGTGCTGTGCTTTCTAAAAAACCCCGATAGGGCAGGAATGCCACATGAGAGGCTCTAAGTGGCCGTCACAGGAGATAATGGTTCTAAAGCCTGAGCTGGAGAGGGAGGATGAGTCATGGCACTGCATGGTACACACAGCTGGCAATCTGTGGAGCCAATGCAAGGGGAAGAGGCCTCAGGTCATTGGCTTGGTCTCCTTGGTTGTGGGGCTCACAGATCCAAAAGTTAAAAGCTATCTCACACCAAGGGCATCAGTGCAACAAACACACCTGCAGTTTTATCAAGCGAGCTTATGTAATAGGAACAGGCTACCAATAGAAATACTATGAGCAGTTTCTGGCATTGGTTTCAAATTTCTGAAGTGCTGGCATATTAATTTAGGCAACTGTAATGGGGGGGGGGATATCTGTTACCAGCTTATCTGCCCCATGGTGCAATCGAATTTAACCACGAGGGAGCAGAATGCCCACCTGAAGATTTCACATTTGCAAGCGGGGGCTTGCTTATTTCATTTATTTATTACATTTACATTCCACCTTTCCTCCAAGAGCTCATGGTGGCACACCTGGTTCTTTCCTTCTCCATTATTATCCTCACAGCAAGCCTGTGAGCTAGGCTTGGCAGAGAGACCGTGAGCTTCATACCTAAGTAGGGATTTGAACCCGAGTCCCAGTAACAGTGACTGGATGAAAATGAAAATGCAAGCTTAGTATCTGGGCTTTACACTTCACAACAAAAGCACCACTACCTACCTCACACAGCTTGTTCTGAGAGAAGGGGGATATGACAAAAGGGTCTATGCAGAAGAAGATTTTTTTTAAAAAACAGACCATATACGCCTACCTAGTATTTGCACTTCATGCGTGATTCCATAGACATCTATCAGTGCCCAGAGAGGCCCGGAGACTTTGACGCCACAGTGAAACAGAATTGGCTCTTCGTCATTAACGCTATAGAAAACTCTCCCATGGCGGTCGACCCAGAACGCCAAGATGTTGTCTCTTAGTGCAAACCTCTCTGGCAGGGCTTTGGCCCAGAAGCCTGGCCGTGTCACCAGGTCTGGGCAGGCATATTTTGGTATGTCGTCTGCGCTCATCTGCGATGGATCGTGAGTGGTGAAGCCAAAGCGCAGGGCCCCGCTCCACCCGTGGTGCACGGACACCAGCTTGAGACGCACTTTCTCGTAGAGGTGGATGGGCCGGTTGGTGAAAGTGACGCCGTTGCAGAAACTGTTCCTCCGAGTGGCTTTGCGGGAATGGGCATCCAGGCGTATGTTTTTTCCTTTGGCCTGGAAATGGAATCGCGGAGGTTCAGTAATGGTGAGGACAGACCGCCTCTCATGGCTACTGTTAGGCAGTGTGTAATAAGGCCTGTGGGATACAGAGCGAGCCTGTTGACTGGTATCTGCAGATAATAATAAAATAAAAAAACAGGAAGAAGAGGCATTGTTAGGAATTTGCTAATTTAGGTTGCAATGCTAGGAAAACTGCTTCCCCCACCCCCCAACCCCAGCTACTGATATGTACAGATTCTAGGCTAGATTTTAACAGACTAATCAGATACAAACGCACTCCTTATTTGGACAAAGTTCCTCTGCTCCCTGTTCTTGTAATCCTAGTAAGAATGACATTTTTCCAGTGGAGAAAAATTCTGTCTCTCAGCCAGTGTTCAGCTAGAACCAGTTTTTAAATGAATACATTGCTAGACACAACTGACACCTCAACAGAAACGCAAACAAAAAAAACCTTAGCACACTAGGTTGAGGTGGGGAGATCCAAACTGCAGTAGTCACACTGCTACTATTTGGGGCCAAAAGAGGAACTGACTAGACAATTTCATTGCTGACATAAACAGATTTGCTCAACAACTGCTTCTAGAATTTAAAACATGGGTAGGCAAACTAAGGTCTGGGAGCCAGAGCCGGCCCAATTGCCTTCTAAATCCAGCCCATGGACGGTCTGGGAATCAGCCTGTTTTTACATGAGTAGAATGTGTCCTTTTATTTAAAATGCATCTCTGGGTTATTTGTGGGGCGTAGGAATTCATTCATTATTATTTTTTTCAAAATATAGTCCGGCCCCCAACAAGGTCTCCTGAAAAAGTTTGCTGACCCCTGATCTAAAACTTGGGGCAATTGTTAAGTAGGCATCCCAGAAGACAGAGAAAGCAGCCAGTCTGGAGCCCTGTACCCCAGGCAGCCTATGTGTGCTACGTGAGAGTAGAGAGGAAGACTGACATAAAGAGAAGCTGCCAATATGTGGTAATATTACTTGCTGCCACCCTTCTGCCTCTTCTTGGTCCCCAATACATGTCCTGTTGGAAGTGACTTGAAGCAACAGTGCCCTCTTCTACCCATGAACTCAGAAGCAGACAGGTAGATTGTATGTTTGGAACAATGATAGCATATCAACAAAAGGAGGTGGGAGATTTATCTTAGTGGCACTGAACACCTCCAAGATGACCTGCCCATCATTTAAAAAGAGAAAGTGAGTCACCAAGTCAGTAACTAATCTGCAATCAACTGTTGGACCACCCAGGCAACCAAGCATTTAACCATCCCTAAAAGGCCCCTGGTTCTGAGCTCTAAGTGCTATCTTTGGCCTGCTTAGTATCCACAACATGCTTTGTAGCTCTTAAGAACTAGTTTTCAATTGTATGTTGCTTCAAATGTTAGCTGCTGATGGCTTAAATTCTGAAAATCCATTTGGGGTATCATAATTTATAGCCTTGTGTTTTAGCATAAACAGCATGCATTTTCCCTTACCCAATCTTTATATGTACACACTGAACTACAAGATAAAATAGGGCCATCAGAAACCCCCAAAGCTAAATGAAGCAGCCCTAGGGCGGAGGTGGGGGAAATTGGCTCCTAATGAAACTGTTTTTGTAAGTCTGTCCTATGACTTCCCCTTATGGCAGGAACAGTGTCATGGCAAATATTCAGTAATCATTTCCCTTATTTTTAATGAACGACACACACACACAAAATAGCTCAGTAAGACAAGATTAAAGCTTCCACCCTAATAAACCCCAAACACAAATGTCAAAACAGTTTTATTGTAATTACAAGTAGCCACATGCCGAAATATTAACATAGCTGGAAAACAAAACTGCACTAAGGTCCTGCCTTGGCACTTCACACTTGGGAGGAATAGGGATTTGTTTAAATATATTTTAAAATACCTTCACAGCAGGAGCTTCAATATTTTTGAATTGATATTGTGCAAGTGACAATTGTTTCAAATAATGGCAACACCTCTCCTTAAAAACAAACAACACATTCCTAACATTTGTGACTTACTTCTTTTACTTAACAGTAATTAAAATGCATACCAAAAAGTATCAGCTGACCTCAGCAGCCACACATTAACAGTCCAGAAGAACTCTACTTCAGAATTGATTCCTGCTGATTCTCTCCCATTATTTCCCTCCCAACACCCAGACAGGCTCTTTTGATTGTATAAAAGTGAATTCAGAAAAAGTCCAGTCAGGTGTTGCTCTCCTAAGCCACGTCCACACCATACATTTAAAACATTATGATACCGCTTTAAACAGTTATGGCTTCCTCCAAATAATCCTGAGAATTCACAGAGCTGCCATTTTCCAGAGTGGTTAAACAATCAATCCCTCTTCACATGAACTCTAGGAATTGTAGCTCTCTGTGGGGAAGAGGGGTCTCCTAACAAACTACAGCTCCCAGAATTCTTGGGAAGCCAAGGCTGTTTGAAATGTGTCATAGTGCTTTAAATGTGTGGTATGAATACAGCCTAATAGTTGCAGATTCTGAAAGCATTTCACAGGATCTCTCAGTCTCTACAGACCTTTCTATGGAAGGAGCTCAAGAATGCAATCCAACCCATTCCAGCCTGCAAACACTGTGTTTAGTGGTGTTTATGTACAAGTAAATATGCACAGGACAGGGCAGCAAGACAGACATCCTGTCAGTTTTGGTGATATATATTTTTTACCTCCCCCTTAGGACTGCCTGACCAGAAAAAAACAGACTGCCCTGCTTCCCTGCTTTTTATCTGCAGAAATCAGCAGATGGAGGTTTTTATGGTATGGAGCTAAGCATTCTCACCTCCCAATGTCTGCAGTACAAGCTTGCAAAGGGTTTAGAAAACGTGCCAGTATAATAATGATGATAAAGGAACAAAGCTGGCAACAATACCTCTTGAATGATATCTTTAGCGGGCCAAATCCTTAGCAGCAGCAGTGCCTCTCAGGAGGTTATACAAGCCTGTTTGTAATGTAAACATCCTGCCAAAGGATGACAGATATGTTTTAAGAAAAATTTTCCAAAAGGAGAGAACCAAGATGACTAGCAAATCTAAATAAATAACTGGGAGGGAAGTACTTGCACTTCCCAAATGAACCACATGGGCCACGAACCACTCTCTGGTGCAAGAGATTCAGCTGGAAGAACTGAGAGACTAGCAGCTTGCTGAAGGTGAAAATATAGTGTTTCTGGCCAGAGCGTCCTGGGAGCATCACTTCTGTTACAGTAACACCTAAGTACGTGGCAGCCATGAAGAGGTGGGAAACATAAGGCATTTCAGGAGTTACATGGAATAGCACATGCAAACAAGTTTATCTTTATATGAGAACTAGAAACAGAAACTGAACTCTTAAGATATTTCTTTTCATTGCACTTATCTTAAGAATGGAGAGATACGGGAAAGAATGGAGAGGCACATAATAGCAGTACACATAATAAATAGCGAGTTATAGATAGGCCCAACGGGGTAAACGTTCTCAGGCATTCAGGGCAGCGTTGTTTACACCAATAGCGGAAGCTTTATCGCCACCTTCAATAATACGATAAGGCCAGAGAACAGAATCAAAGACCGCCAGGCACAAATGCATTAAGGCCTGTGATACATACACTTTTGTGATTAAGCGGCAAACTGCTCCCAGTTATCACTATTGGCCTATACAATACACTGTACAACTTGCCTTGTGAACGGGAAAACTCTCCATCTACTTATATTCAGTACAATAGCGCAGTTTCTGCGCAATCTGATCTAGATATATTGGCACTGACTGCCAAGAAAACCATTCTTAGTATCTGCTTATTGAGTTTTTAAAGGGTGTCCCTTCCTCTAAAATAGTCATTGTTTCATTCTTCTTAGTTGACTAAGTATATAGATGGCAATGGCCACAGTCAGACCATAACTCAACTGCCTTGTCCAGGAATGGCTGCCATAAGGAGTGGTGGAGAGAGGAATATTTCAATAAATACAGCAAGCCCACAACGTATGTGCATTTAACTTTTGCACATTCAGCTTTATGTGCTGGCAAAATAAATAAATAAAAATTAAAAGGGTGGAGAAAGGGTGTGAGGTTCTGGGGGAAATGACTTGGACAATCCCACTTACCACTGAGCTCAATAGATTTTGACTATGCGTAATTTGGCTTTAGGCACAATTTGCCGGAACATAACCCCTGCATAAGCTGCCTGCTTACTGTACATCCTGTTGTACAGCAACAAACTGTTTCACTATCTTCAAACACATTCTTCAGCACACCTTCACATAGTTTATGATCTTAAGGTATAAAAAGTGTGTGTGCGTACACACACACACACACACACACACACACAGGCATCTACATTTTGTATAATCCCAATCCCATTCCTTGAATGTACAAGCAGAGAAGAATATCAAGCCAAGAAATTAGATAGATAGATAGATAGATAGATAGATAGATAATAGATAGATAGATAGATAGATAGATAGATAGATAGATAGATAGATGATAGGAATTTTATTATGCATTGGATAAATCCAGAGAATTTTAAGAGGTCGATGAGTAATTTCAAAAGATGGAAAAGCAGTTGTATAGCCAAAATGCTACCATCATTCCAAGCTGATGAACAGGAAGTTTAGGCCAGGGGTTATTTAAAAAACAAAACAAACAGGAAAGCATGTTGCGATTATACAATAGGGAATTATCCTGAAGGAAATGAATCAGTCATGTTATCCTTTACTAGAACGGACACCTGTCAGTTACCCTTTTAAAACATACAGCACTTTTTCTTTAGTGGGATTGGGACAATGAAAGAGCACTGTAAATATAGTTGCCCCATAGCAAGCATCATTTTTGACAAGCTATTTTGCAAGCGTAAAACCAGCATCTTCCACAAGAGATGCAGAGGAAAGAGTGGCAAAAAGCATTTTCCATGCACCAGACATCAACCTAGTCTGACAACACATTCTCATTCCAGTGGGTGCCTCATTCTCTATCATTCTGAAGTCCACAGCAAAGGATAGCTTCAATTGGTACATAAGTAATCATAACCTATTTCCAGATACTTCTGATCATGAAAGTGTTTTGGCCAGTGTATGGGGAAATATCTATAGCAATAACCAGCCTTGTCAATCTGTGAATGGTGGACCAATGGCATACATGTACACCCCAAAATGACAGTGGTAAAATATTGTCATAAATTGCCATATGATAAGTGAGCATGTTATTGGCTGTAACTACCTCAACTATTTTACGTTGATTGGTCAATCTGTGGTGCGGCTGATAGAAATAGAGAATGTGAGATTGAAGAAGCAGCTCATAGGAAATGAAAGGAGAATACGGACTATTCAAAATGGAATATGAGATGTCTCAGCTCACATAATCTCACCATCCTGAGGTTGGAGAAAGTGGTGGCAGTGGTAGCTGTATTGGTAGCCAGCAACACATCTGTTGCAGTGATTATATTTTTAGCTTTTTTCAGAAGACTAGTTTGCAAACAATCCAAATCATTCCCCACTCATACTTCAGCCCCTCACACAGTTTAAATCACACTTATTTATATATCTTTTAATTTAATTTAATGATTTAATCCAGACACATGAGGATTTGGAGAAACCTGACTGGAATGGAATTGGGGCCCACAGTGTATCCCTCACTGCTAGTTTTAGAAAATCTCTTAGCTGTCAATCTCATGGGGATTTCAGTTGATTTTTTAAAAAAACTATAATACATCCTTATATCATGGGTTTGGTATTCTTTTCAACATGCATTTTTTAAAAAAACAAACAAAAACCAACACCAGTTATTTCCGGTATTCTTTGGCTTTGTAAATGGAAGGACACACAAACCCTTTTCTTTAATGTACATTGTACTAACCTCACCGAAGCCTTTAAAATTCTGTTTTAGAACAAAACTTTTATTGTGAACAATGCTTAAACCAATAAAGATTCCCCAAGACACACACAAACACACTACAGTTTGCATCATATTGTACAAAGCATTACGTATTCTGTGTCTTTCTTCTCAGCTACACATATCAGCATTGCAACCACACAATGTTCATCTCTTGAACACTCCGGCGGCTTAAATTATTTGGTGTCTCTGGAGGGTAATGGCAATGATCCAAACTGGAGGAAATGCTGAAATTAAAAGACATGTTTATACAGGACATACTTCTCCTAAAACGTGCACTGGAAGAATGAAAGACTATTTGGCTTCAATGACTCATATGGCTGAAAAGGCCAGAAGATAACCTAGCCCAGTGACTTACATCAAGGCAGTACCGCTACCTAATAACTCATCTTGAATTGACCTACATAATGCAGACTATAACATCTCACAAGTAGAAGCCAGCAGAGAGGAGAACCGCTCAAAATGCCCACAGAACAGATAGTACCGGACAATAAAAGAACCACACACTACAGGAAAATGTGGTGGTGGTGGTTTTCAGTACCACTATCTGAGACAAAGAGACTTTTAATCTCGGAGAAAACTTCCCAAATTCAAATATGACATTATGTGAGGCCTAAGCCAAGAAGAAAACCATCCACAGACTCTCCCCAAAAGTCATTTTAAACAGGGACACTACATCCAGCCTCTTTCAAGATGTAGGAGGACTTGGTACCTCCAAAGAAATGGGGATGGGGGAGAACCCAACTATATTGAATGTAGAAAATATTTTTTCTCTCACCACAATGAGTCCACAAGAATAGAGGCACCAGATTAAACAATCTTAAAATATCAAAATCACAGTAGGCATAATATAAAAACTGCGAGGTAAGAATAACGATTGGAAGAAGACACTGCGGAATATATGATTGAGTTATCGCTCACGATGTGGTGGTGGGAAGTCAAACAATGTAATGGATTTGTATAATGATTAAGTATCTAAACAGTAAGGAACCTAATTTTGGTTTTGTATATTTTTCTTTTTTTTTTCTTTTTTTTTGTCTCCTTTTTTCTTTTGTTTTGTTTTTATGGATGATGTACATATGCTTTTTAGCTGTTGGAATATAATAAAGGTGTTTTAATCTCAAAAAAAAAAAAAAAAACACAATTAAAAATCAAACCATGTTTTTCTTAAGTTATAGCCACAGTAATACTTTCCCTAAGCCAATAGAGCCATAACCTAAATCCTAATCAGCTAATGGCCACTTAAAGCCCTGAGGCAGGCCACCTGGTTTCATTTGCACAGATGGAAAGCAGGAGCAATTGTACTAAAATCTCTAAAGGACATGAGACAAGTACGCCAGAGAGCCATAGCAACAAGTCTCAGAGCTTGCTCTCACAAATCAATTATTGCTTAATGCTTTTTCATTCAACTTTGTCCTCTCCTGGGCATTTAAAAATTGTGTTTCAAGAGGAAACCCATAGTCCCTTTGTGAATATGCTGTGAAGGTTTTAATAAAGTCAGAATATATGAGAGTGAGAAGTTTTAATGAGTAAGGTTATCATTACAGAGCCATTCTGAAAAACAGTGTTGTCAACAGTATCTCCTGCAATGGTCCCCTCTTCCCTGTGACACAAACACCACCACATTAGTATTTTGTCCCATGCACAATGCACCTGCATGAACCTTTGAAGTGCAGGTGAGAGTTTTTGGCCAATCTAAACAAGAAGAATTGGGAACTGAAGGCTCCCACTTTGGTAGCAAGCAACTGCTCTAGTTTAAACTCAGAAATGCAAACCTGTGAAGATAAGCCCTTAATGATATAGTATCAGAAACACAGAAAGGTAAAGCAAAAACAAACAAAAACCCTCTTAACATTGGAGACAGTGTTAGGGCAAACAGTATATGTGTAGATAAGCACTACTTAAAATGTGTTACAAAGCTGCTCCTAATTGTTCATTCTTGTCCCACAACAAAGATGCAACTGTGGAAAAAGGCAATGTAGCAGAATTCCAGACACAGGAAATGCTATGCTATGATTATTCAGAGTAAAATAAGTTAGTAGCTCACAGCTTGGAGCAGCACATCCCTTGCCTCTGAAAGCACAGCCCTTTTATAGGATGAAACCCAAGATACCTGATGACGAATCAGAATTTGTCCCAACTCTGGGTTACTGGAATCTAGCAGGCATCAAAACAATGGAGGACTAAAGATAAAGGGGAACGAATTGGGTTGTTGAAAAGATGGTGTTCAAGGCATTTAAGATGGGCCTAAAGGGAATGATAGATTATTGCAAGAAAAAATGTTTATTCCTTCTCCTATTGTGTTCAGGGAGATGTTTTAGATGCTGCACTTCAGCCCTGTCTAGTCACAATACATCAGTAGGTGTACATGTCCCAGTTGCGAAGACGCAAAGAAAAGGAAGAGATCTTGATATTGGATGTATTACAAAAGCTTCAGCTTTCACACTTTTAAAAGGCCAGTTTTTAGCCCATAGCTATGAAGACAGACTTCCAAGTGTGGAGCTTGTATGCTCTAAATATTCAGAGAGAATGAACACACAAACGTAGCTGAAACTTTTTCTAAGGTGAAATAATAGTTCCTTAAATCATCCGAATTTAAAAATGCAGAACAACAAATATGTTTTACTTACTTAATTCTTATCTGGGAAACAAGGGATAGAACCTGTCATTATTTTATGTACACTCAACTGTATGGATGTTACTGAAACCGGGGGGGGGGGGAGAGAGAGAGAGAGCTTTCAATGAATGCATCCTATAAGTAACCATTTTATTTTGAGATCCTATTGTTCAAATGATGTGAATCCATTGTGAGAGCTGGGTGGCGGCTGAATTTTTGACCGACCTCCTCCCTATCCAGAAAGCTCTAAAACACTTCAAAAGGACTTCTGAATAGGAAATAGACTAGGCAGTGTTGGAACAGCCACAGATTCAAATGCAAGCATTTCCTCTGTGTGTGCTGCTGCTGCTGCTGCTTCTAAAAGAGAGAGACTTCAACTGTCCAATATAGCAAACAGGGAACAGTTTTGTTTTTGCATTTTGAACCCTGATCTATACAGTACTGCAATATGTGAAATGTATGGTTTAGTTGTTTTGAGGGGGCAAGGGGTGTCTTCAATCAGACAAGCCACTGTATTTTTCTCATAGCCAGCTGTCTGGAAGGAACCCTAGAAGAAAAAGCAGAGTTTCATTACCAAATGGGTATGAGCTACATTCCCAGAGAAAGTGAATTCCATAGAATCTAGGCCAAGGAATGAAGTGGGGGGCGGGGGAAGGAAATGAAACTTTACAAACAGCATAAAGTTCACAGAAACTGCACCAAAATTCCTATTACACACAATCTTTCTGCTATTCCCATCCTACAACAACTCGTTATTGTCACTTGAAAAACATGTAATTAGGACTAATATTGTTACTAAATCATTATCAATCTGGCATGGAAAGACAAAGGAGCCCATTTCCTTCTTGTAGATTCATCTCACAGCTACTTTAGAATAGCTGAAACAGTAAACTGTGTTGTTTCCAGAGAAAATTTTGTGAGCTTGTGACTTGATCCCCACCCCGAAGAGCAACTTAATCATCTATCCCATGACATATCCTTGGTGCAATGGATCTTTGAGCAAGGCAGTTTCTCTAAAAATAAAATGACTACATTCTCTGAAATGCGAGCGCTTCTACAAAGCCAGAGTTCAGCCACATCATTAAAAAGCTGCACACAATAGAACTGTTACCTTGAAAGGGAAAATAACCGCAAGGCCATGTCATCCTGGTTAACTGAGCATCCTTTAGCCATGATAGTGTCACAAGACAAACCACAAAAAAGAATGAAAAGCCGATTCATTGAGCTGGTCTCAAAGGCCCCTCATGTTTGCTAACAAAAATTCATAATGAGGCAAGCCTTCTTTCAACAATGAGTGATAAAAATCCTCACTAAATTAGAGGCAATGGTAGAGATAAAATATTCCATGATAATCATTTCTGCTCCCCACCCACCTCGAGTAATGCAGATTATTTATAATAAAATGATTATTTTCAGATGTCTAAGATACAGTCTTGGCAGTGTCCATTCTCAAGGGCTTACATAGGGCTGTTTCAGGCATAATGCTATACCACAGTTTACTGCTACATGAAAAAACAAAAGCAAGACTTAACCTTGTATATTTCTCCTTTCCTTCTGCTCCTCTGGTGCAGCTGCAATGAGATTTCATAATTTCTGTTTTAAATTTAAATAGAATAATTTCTGTTTTTAACCATGAATTATAATTAATTTAAACCTTAAACCAGCTTCTCCCAACCTGGGGCCCTCTAGATGTTTTAGACTACAAGTTCCATCAGTCTGTGACATAATTCTTGATAAGGGACGGTAACAATTCCTCCCCGCCCAGAGAAAAAGAATATGGGGGTGAGATGCAGCTCTAAGACATGGGTCACCAACACAGCATTCATGAGCACCAGGGGGTTCCTTTCTGCACCAGACTTATCAAAATAATGAATTCAGGGGCTCGGCCGCCAGCTCTGCCTTGTACTCCGTTACCTGGGCAAGTTACTTGTCCTTCATTATTAACCATGATCTCACAGCAGCCATTTTGTGGTGGTGCCTACAAGAGGTTTTTGTGCTGCTTTCTCCCACAAATTATCAGATGTGTGCACAAATTCAAAAAAGTTGTCACCCCCTGCTCTACAAAGCTTTTGGAGTCTATCAAACAAAATTGACACTGCAGTAGAGAATAGCTCTAACTTCTCATGAACAGAATTGTTAGAAACACAAAGCACAGAGGCTGGTCCATCTGCCACTCACTTAAGCAAGTAATACTTTTCTATAAATAATTTGAATAAAAAACTGCTTGTCCTTCAGCATTTGTTGGTTCTTATTGTTTCCCCACTTCTCTTCCCAGCTCTCTCACTTCCACCTCACAAGCTACCCCAAACTAACAAGTAAAGTGTAGCTAGCAATAGTGATTATGACATTCCACTTTTATGCGACTATCGGCTGATGTTTGGTTTTAGATTACGTACTTTCACTGGCCGTCAAAGCTAGTCAATCACAAAATAATATTGTAACGGTACATTATAACTATCAGAGATACAGCTAACAGGAGAGTTTATAGAATACAGCTTTCTAGCCTGTGCTTCATTTTTCCTCAGCAATATGTACTACGATTCAAGTTCTCTTGGGAGGTAGCTCTTTAATTTAACTGAAGGTTTTGCTTCTCTCATCTGCAAGTTAAACAGCATTTAAACCAGAACCGCTGACAAGTATTTCCTGTACAGCTATAAGAAGGTCTTTTGCAATGAGTCAGGCCAATTTTCATCTCAGCCTATGGCTTGCAGTAGCTCGCCAGAGAATCTTAAGATGGCTTTGGGAACAACATAGATGGATGGAAGAAGGGGCTGTGCACCCTCAACTGCCATTTTGTGTAACATCCAAACAATTTGTGAGCATCACATAACATTGGTTATGTTTAGGTTCTGTGGTTTTTTTTAATGAATCTTTGTAAGGTCAGGTGTTTTGCTTTGTTTTTGAAAAAAGAGAGCATCAAGTGGCCTTCAGTTTGGGTCAAGAGGCCTCCATCTTTAATACCATGTTTTTAGAATCTGGTAGGTGAGAGTTAAGAGATGGATGGAGAAGGCATAGTGTCTAAGTCACGTTTAGTCTGCTACAATTCCCTCTTCCCCCAAAAATAGTATAAAAGCTACTGCCTGATAGATAGATGGAAGCCTTGGAAGCTGTTCAGATTGCTGCAATTGATCATAGTCATTTGACACCCAAGTTCCTTTCCCCTTATATTTACTTCAACAGTAAAGCTTTTTGAAATATCGTCCATGTGCAAGGAATCAGAAGTATGAAAATAAAGGAGGTAGCACTGGGTCACACCTTCAAGCCATAGCCAAAGAAAAATGTGCTGTCACCAAGCCAGGCAATTAATCTCACTACATTTAAATCTGCCTGTCAGTTTCTAGACTATACTCATTAATATGCTCTGCAAACATGTTGCAGCACTGTGGACCACTAGAATCAACTAATGGAGGCTGGTGTGACCCACAGTGAATAAATTTGAAACACACAATTTTCCTGACCACCCCCAATTTTAATCTGATTTTATTCCAAGGTGGGGTTTTAAAGGCTTCGACACTATACTATCCATTTGACATTTAGCCTGCAAGCCTATGAAGGCTTATTTGGGAGTGAGCCCCACTGAACGTGATGGGACTTCTGAGTAAGCATGCGCAGGAGTGGGTTGCTGGTTTTCCATATGAAAAGTGTTCCAAAACAAGACGCCCAGTTCATTAGCCACTGTTATGTTGCGCCTTTCCCAAGAGCCTGCCATAGTCTGAACTCAAAAGATCAAGGAAAAAATAGTATTCCAAAAACTGTCAATCTTCTAAAAACTGGCTCTAGTATCAGTTTTCAGTATTCCACAACAGAAGTATGTCCAAATATATTATATTAAGTGCTAAATATGAAAGTTGTATTAGCATCTAAAAATTATGTGTCAACGTATTGCACAACACATAATAAAAGACAGACCTCAGCTCAAACTGCTGATGCTACAATCCTGTTGCCTTACATAAACCTATCTTATCAATTTTTCCTTTCTCGCAGAATGACTAAAACTATAGGATTCCTCCCCAGTTCTCTCTTACCAGCTAGCATCATACCCAAGTTCTGCATTACATTTCTATTATAAAAGCTAACTAAAAGGATACAGAAATATAATTCCATCTAACCTCCATTTCCCAGAATATTAAATATATTTTTCAGAAGGCCATAGTAACACTGCAACATTATAAGGTAGATGAGCAGATAGACTTGTGCTTTTGCATGTGCAAATACCAAAACAACAGTACAGTGTTATAATTAGCAGTAACATTTTATGTCACTAAGCTTGCAGGAGCATCTACGGAATATCTGGTTTTAAATTAGATGCAATTATCTTTTCTCCCCTGCCCCCACACTGAACTCACAAAAAATATTGGGTAACAACATGTTTCACTCTGTCCCATCACCCAGATGTATTGGGGTCATGGAAAGGGTGTGCTAACTTGAACACTATTCACATGCTGGTTGTTTTCTACATAAACAGGAACAAGGTAAGGGGTGGAATCGTTGTCTGTGGGAGGCAGGAAATCCATCCCATCCCCTATAGGCACAAAGGGTCACCGTGTTACACCAGAAGACTAATTGCTAAATAATTACCAAAAAAGAAAAGGAAAATGAAAGGCTTTAAAACAAAGCAACTGCAGCTCAGCATGGGTGGCAGTTTTGTCTGACATTCAAAATGGCCATCGAACACCATGTCGAATAACTGAAAGAGATGGGTTTAAATTCTGCTGCAGTTATGGATTCTCCATGTAGATCTGGTGAAGTCACTGTCTCTCACCCTTAGTCTCCAACCAGTTAAATGGGTTAATATTTACCATTTATACAAAGTGCTTCGCGTACTGTGATTAACAATGACAATGTTGTGTAAATGCAACAAATTCCTGCAGGGAATTTATTAGCTTCCTGCTTGCCCTCTTCCTAACACTAACAGACTACTCCAAGCACCCTAACAAGGGTACATTTCTCAAAGTATACTGGGAAGAAGCTGCCTGGCCATAAGGCTTTCAGGGGTTTTTGTGAAGAGCTGGCTCCCATAACACGTGCTGAATTTTGGCTGAGGAAACCAGCATTGACTGTAGGAGCTCCTGAAGTTTGCTCACGGCCACTTTTGCTTCTCCCCAGTCTGTTTTTCTTTTGATGAACTGTGCTGAACTAAGTCATGATTTTGCTTAGCATGTCATCTGAACTGGAACTCATGCTTAAGGTCATGATTAGCAAGAAGAGAGCTTAATCGCAAGCTCGGGGCTCATAGGCAACACAGTAAGCGAAACCTTTGTTTAACACAGCAAAGTTTTTTGTTGTTGTTTTTTTAAAAAGGAGTAAAAGAAGCTGCACATTCCTTTCCAGGAGCCCACAGTGTTGTGAAAGCCAGGTCAATTGGTCAGTTCCTCCTTGGTGGGCAATAGCTACTTCATGAAAATTCTGCAAGGTCAAAGTTAACGACCACAAAGTAAATGAGATGTTGAGGCTGCAAATCCTATGGACCTTTACCTCTGAACATAGCGAGAATTAGTTCAGAGTAAGAATGCATGGAGTTCAGGCCTAAGGCATTTTGCTGCTTGAGGTCAAGGGCAAGATGAAACTCCTTCCTCCTTCTACATATGGAAGACAACTAGACTGACAGCTGAATCACCCTAGTAAAGGGATAGCAACCTCCACAACACTTTGGTTGGGGGCTATTTTGTGGTAGGATGGGCTGTGCCAGGAGAATGGCCCCAACATCCGCTGCCCAAGGCCTCACTTTGCCAGCCCTGATAGGATTGTACTACGAAATAGTGTTTATTAACCACCATTGTGCTACAGAAAAATTGGGGTGGGGAATGAGAAATCACAGGGATGTTTCAATTCACGTAAGCAAGATGGCAACCCACTTAGCAGCAGACTTAACAAGGGCCATGCATTCAGGGCTTCTGGTCTTTTCCGAGACAGCCACAAACCTCAGAGTGAGCAAGAAACTGTGGCTTCTAGGAAGCAGCTGCTTTCAAAATCCCTGCCCCCAGTATGCTGCTGGATTGCAATCTGGTGCTTCACTTTTTATTTACACACAGTTTAAACAAGGCTCTGGCATAAAGGAGAAAAATGCTTTGGAAGGAATGCATTGAGTGAGAAAGGTAAATAATGAGTGGCCTGCTCTTCAATTATTTTCTTTTTAACAGCTATCAGGACTGTATATAATTCAACTGCACTTCTCAAAGATGAAATCCATGAAATCTAGAGCAGAAGAGAAAGGGGGGGAGTAGAACAGTGACTGTTTATAGTTAATTTGGCGAGGGGGCGGGGAGATACATAGCTTTCCTACTTGTTATGTTAGTTTATTTCTGTGCCACCTTTTGTCCCAAAAGGCTCTCACAAGAACTAACAAAGGCAATCACAAAATTCAAGCAATAAAATACAGCAAAAGATTAATATCTCAACAACATATCATATTTGTCATATCTATAGTTCAGAAGAGGAGTCTTTCCCTAGAAAACGTCCATGGGTCATAGGATTTCAGGCAGAGATCAAATGGAGTTTAGCAAATGCAATTCAGTATACAATTCAGCTGGGCCTCTCTGCAAAAGCTAAGAAGAAGAAATAAGTATTATTA